TCTACTAGGTCCCTTCCGACTCTAAATCTATGAAACTATCATGAAAGAAATAGGGGGCCTCATAAGCTAGTTAGTAAAGCAGAATCTTGTTTGAGGCAGTCTTGCCCTTGATTCCCTCACCAATTGCTGTGTAAAAATGTATCTGAAGTTAATGGTCTGAATGTTATGGCCAGGAATGCTAGTATATTAGTAAAGAAGGATCATATTAAAGGTTTGCTCCCATGACCTACCAAGATAAAGGCATGCCAGTTTCTGTAGTTAGCAGCACACAAGGGAGTAATATGACTAGCACTGGACCTGGTTGTCTTTTGATTTCCACAGTGAATCACTAGGTTTTGTTGGATCGAGTAGGGGAAGCCTTTGACCCAAATATAGAGAAGGGTTTGAAATTGTCCAACTGGAACAAGAGGGCACCCCTTGAATTTGACTGTGTTGAAGTCTTTGGTGTCTGCTCAAGGCCATCTTGCTATAACTGCCTTCATCTCTGGCATTTGTAGTGCCAGAATAAATTCTTTCAAAATTTGGATCACTGTCTGAAGGAGGTAAGAGTGAAGTGTCAGTAAAATTATAAGCTTCCCAGACACCTGTATCAGGGTTGGTCCTTTTGTAAGGAACATCTTACAACAGTTATTCTCAACCAAGCTCCACAACCCCCTGGGGTGCCTTGAGATCCTTTCAAGGGTGCTGCAGAGTGCCACACAATATTAGCACTGTTAGATGTGCAAATATAACTCACAAAATAAATCCAGAGATTTCAAACACGAGTCTGTAGTGTTAAAAACATTCTGCCCTGTTGTAGTTTGACTGAGTTCTTTGCCACAGAAAAACTACTCTATTACTTGTTTCTGTAGTCAAAACGTAGTGAAAACTAAGTTGGCGTTTTCCAAGGGGTGTCTTGGATATAAAAAGGTTGAGAACCACTGTCTTGTAGAATCTGTATAAAAATATAATTAGCCCAACACGATACTTTGAGAAATCTATAGGTGTACTTAAGACTGTAGGCTTTCTAGATTACTATTATGAATTTTTATTTTATGGATATTCAAGGTCAAACTTCCCACCTTGGCTGAACAGCTATTTTGTGATCTGATAGTATGTACAAGCCACAGATACAAACATGAGGAAGTGAAGTGACGACTTAGTTATATTAGTTATATTAACCAGGGATACTGTCTTCATGGTAAGAAGCATAGGGTTGGAAGCTGCTTTTTTTTTTTTTTTCCTCTGGTATACGTGTCAGTGGAGAGGAAGGAGGAACCTCTCTTTCAGCCAACACAGCTATACCAGCAAAAATCCTAATATAGAAGCAGGAGAGCAAAAGGTCACTTGTATTCTGTGGGGGAAATTGGTTGAGCTGTAGATCTAAAACAACTAATTTATCTATATAAGAAGCTTCTGCTAGAGCACTTGACAATGTAACTTTTCAGTAATAGCAAATACCTACGCGTAGGCAGGCCCATGGACTAAACTTGTTACATGTTTAGTGTTTATTGAAATGTCTCTCCAGTAATAAGTGTAATCCTGCCTATTACAAGTTTGCTTGCTGGTGTTTCAGGAACATGAATGAAGTTTCATAGATTTCATAGACATTAAGGGCTGGAAAGGACCTTGCAAAATGGTTGGCTTCAGCTCCCTGCCCAAGGGGTAGGAAGTCAGCCAAGGTGAGATCACCCCAGCAAGATAAATATCCAAGTGTTTCTTAAAGATATCCAGAGTAGGTGCATGCACCATTTTTGTGGGGAGTCTATTCCAGAATCTGGAGACTTAGATGGTAAAGAAGCTTTTCCTTATGTGCAGTCCAAAACAGTCTTCCTGCAGTTTGTGACCATTGTACCTTGTCTTCCCTTGGGGTGCCC